AGTTTCCCTTCTTTTAGATTTGAGGTTCTATCAAGAAGATCAGAAAGCTGGTAAAATGGGCACAACCTAAGTCCAACTCTTAGGTTCTCTGACATCAGAGTCTCAGGTTTGGGGAAGGAGGCCTGCATTTATGCTGCCCCTTGGAGGGAGGAGCAAACGGATCTGCCACCAGTTTCAGGGCCATTCTCTCACTAAGAGAGCAGATCTCTGAAAGGAGGTGGCTGGGCTCCCTGACTTGGATGGTAAATGGAAAGTGTGCGTGGAGAGGCAGCAGATCAGAGGGAGCCAAGAGGTGCGGACAAGTTAGGGCATGGAGCTCTGGAAATGTCGGGGTCTGGGGAGTGGAAAGTGGGCTGGATGGATGCTGGGCTTTGGGCCTCACCACTTGGGCATGGTGCAGCCATGGGAGTAACTAACCACCCCTGGGAACTTCAGTTGTTTGAGCTTTGTGGGAGGGAGACCTAGAAGACAATATAACTGGGGTAGGGGGTGCGCTTGGTGGTGAGGGGTGGAATTTCCAGCCCATGTAATTAAAGATATTCTTGGCAAGCATAGGAATTCATCTCCTAATTTCATAAGCCAGGTGCTGCTTGAACATGAGGAAGCAGGAAGGCCCGCAGCAGCCTGACCCCCAGAGGAGGCGGTGCAGCCCGGGCCCACAGCTGGCAAGGTGATGGCCCCGCAGGCCCTGAGACTTGGCCTTGTGGAGCTTAAAGCCCTCTCACCTTCTGTCCAGAGTTCTCGTAGTTGAAGCTTCTGCAGCTGAGAAAGACTTAAGAGGCACAAGTCAAGGTCAGGAGTGAAGAGTCCAGAGTTTTTCTGGAGGTGTGAAAATTGCTTATTTGTTGAGGGCATCCTCTCTAATGGAATTCACTTTGTTGCGAAGGTTATAGTATTTAGCTTCTTAAAACTGAAGAAGTGGGAATCTAATGGAAGCATGTTTTCCTGTCTTTTTGCCATGGTGCCTGGTGTCTTAGGCTGTGGTGGAGGGCCTTTGGGGAAACGTCTGGGGCCATGAAGGAGGATCTTAAGCAGCAGGGGCATTGTCCATTGATGGGAAGGTGTAGGGAAGTCTGAAGCCGGATTTTGATTCTAGATTTGAGATTGGGACAGGGTGGTGAGCATTTGTGGGAGGCAGATTCCAGCTGGATGTAGACATTTGGGATTCGGCCCCAAATTTGTGATTGGTCTAGAGCTTATGGTCAGGGTCCGAGGAATGAGGTTCATTATCCAAGAGAGCCCTGTAAATGGATCTCGGGGAGAAATTGAGGCTTTCTTTTTCTTCTTTGTATCGAGTGGTTTAGATCAGTGGTTCTTAACCGTAACTGCACATTGGAATTTCCCAGGGAACTTTAAAAAATCATGATGCCTGGGTCCCACCCCCAGATTTTGATTTAATTGGTCTAGGATGTGGCATCAGAATTTTAAAAACTTCCCAGGTGATTATAATGCACAACTCGGATTGAAAACCACTGGTCTAGGTGTTCTAGAAACCCTGCAGAGATACAGTAATAAGGATGACTTTTTTTTTTAACGTTTTTTATTGAGTTATAGTCATTTTACAGTGTTGTGTCAAATAAGGATGATTTATTTAGCCGAACGCAATTTTCCATTACCCCGAAACACTTACTGAGCACTTAAGATCAAGATGACCAAGGAAGCCACCTTGTTAAGGCTAGTGAGCCCATGTCTTTGGCTTCCAGTTTTCATTTTAAAACTTTGATTCTGGCAGAGAGCTGCTAAGCAGTTGTTTCAGCTCCAGCTCCCCTTTCTGGAGTCTTCCCCAAGGGCTGGGAGTAGTGTGGGTGATGGGAATGCCCAGGTCAGGAGGAAGGTGACTATGAGGTGAGGGGAACAGTAGACAGAACGTGGTCTCCCTACCCGTGGCTGGGCCAATGCACACAATGGCCGCAGGCACTGGACAGTGACAACAGCCAGAAATAACATTTAGACCCAGTGTATTTCTACTGAACCGTGGGGTTGGGGGTGGGGAGACCACAGAATAGAAATAAAGTAAACCTCTAAATTGCATCTCTTTTGTTATGTGTTGTTGTTGTTGTTGTTGTTTTCCACTTGAAACCTGGCCGGAGGGCCTCCATTATCCCACTCGGTGCCTCTCTGCTGATGGTGCCAGTTGGAAAACAGGGACAGCCGCCATGCTGGGCTTGGCCAGCAAAGACACCCCTTTCCCTGCCCAAGGGACTGAGTTTGCCCCAGCTCAGCCCCGGGGCCTTTGTTCACCACACAGCCTGGCCAGTGACACGCAGGGTGGCCCCCGCCTGGACAGCCCCTTCACCAGCACACGCGGTTTTGTTTTGCAATGTGCCAACACTACCCGATCTTGAGGCCATTTACCGGGAGTCATGATTTGTTTTATACACTTTCAAAACAGAAAACATCTGTTCTGGCCAAGGAGGGATTGAATAATTGCATAGTGGCTTTCCTGTTCACGGTTCAAGGACGTGTGGCACGCCGGCATGCTGGGTGCGCTGGTCGTCACCGCCCTGCAGCTCGGTCACTTCCACGGTGGCCTGACTCCACTGGGCTTCATTGACAAACACTAATGGAACAAGATCAGTTCTTTGCATTGAGTTTGAAATGGAAATTTTTTTTAGGGGGACAGAATTCAGTCTTAAAACCACAGTTCTGAGGGATATAATTCAGGTCTCCCTCTTTTAATTTGCTGAAAGCAATTTCAGAATAGTGAAGCCAGCTAGATTATTTTTTGCCAAATGAGTTTCCCAAAGGCATGGTTTGCTGGGACCGAGTGAGACTTGAATGAGACCTGAGGTCACTGCTCGCCTTGGGTGATGCTTGTGTTCTAATGGGGCTGCGTGGATGCAGCTCCAGTGGTCCCTTTCTGATGGGCGGCTTTTTCCTGCAAGAGGCCTCCATTCCTTTTGGCCGTTCACAGGGCTGCGCTACCCCGACACTGCCCCTCCCTACCCAGGTCCCCGTTCTCATTTGTGTGGCCTGCTGGGCTCTGCCTCCTCCTCAGAGGAGGCACCTTCCTCGCCAGTGAACCCTTGTTGGCATTGGGGGGGGGTTGCAGTCCCTCTGCTCTGCTCACTGACTCCTGTCAGAGTTGCTGGTAGCACAGCGGTCCCTGGGCTGAGCTGCTTGTCTCCACCTACTCCTTTCGTGCTGTTAGGGAATACAGTGTCATTTAATTTTGAAATTTTCATGTGAATGTTGTCTGTGAGGTTTGGTTGTGGTATCCTAATTTCTCTCTGGAAATTGAGATTAAAAAAAATCACTCCTTCACTGCCATTGATACTACTCCATTTGCTATTGTTCATTAAGCAAAGCTAAAATCCGCATTTTGGTGAATGTATTAGCCAGGCTAGGGCTGTTGTAACAAAATAACTACAAACTGAGTGGTTTGAAACTACAGAAACTTGGTCTCCCTGTTCTGGAGGCCGCAGTTCTGAAAACAAAGTATCCACAGAGCGCCCCTCCCTCTCAGGGCTCTAGGCTCCAGGGCAGAGTCCTTGCTTGCCTTTTCCAGCTTCTCTTAGGCCCACGTGTTGTTCCATGCCAGTCTCTACCTTTGTCTTCATCTCGCCTGCTCCTCAGTCTCCCTGTGTCTTTCAGTCTTCAGTCTCTGATAAGGATACTTACTGGATTTAGGACCCACCTGGATGATCTAAGATGATCCACCTCTCTAGATCCTTAAATTACCCACGTCTGTTTAAAAAAAAAAAAAAAACCTTTTCCAGATAAGGTCACACTCCTAAATTCTGGGGGTGAGGATATGGATGTATCTTTTGGGGGGGGCACTACTCCACCCCCTGCCATGGGGGTGATGAAATCTGTTTTTTAAATGGCAATTAACTTACATTTAAAAAAAAAGTTTGTGCAGGCCAGAATAACACATCTCTGCTGCCCAGTTTGGACTCTGAACCCAGTTTGTGCTGGAAGGTCTTGGGAGCATAGTTCCACGTGTCACTGGAGATGGACTGGATGGAATTTTTCAATCTACCCAGAGTCTAAGTTTTGGCACTCCTTAGTTTATGGAAGGCATTCTAGTGTAATTTTCTTGTGAAACTGCACTGCGGTCAAGTGTGGATCTTCTTGTTTTTTTTCTTCTGCTCTCAGTTCAGTTCACAGGGATGCTTCAAAACGAGGCTTTGCAGCCTACGCTATTTTTTCTTTCATGTGGAAAAAGTACCAGCCTGTGGAGGGCTTATGGGACAGTACAGAATCATTATTTTTGTCTCATCTTGGTTCTTTATCTTACCCTTCTCAGGAAATGAATACTTTGGCAGATACAACTAGAGAAGGATACATTGTATTTTGCCTTCCATCCATTCCAAGTGTTGTAATGTTGGATGTTCTGGCAGATGAAGGCTTCATGTAAACCTGCAGAGGTTAATGCATTATCAATAACCTTGACTAGTCCTACCTGTGATCACTGAGCTCCATTTGGGTAGGAGAGGGGGTCACACACCTAGCAGCTTGTCCCTTACTGAATTGTTGCTCAGTTTCTGCCATTTAGTAATAGGTTACTGAGTGGTACCAGTTATTTTTTTTTTCCAGTTATAAAAGCAAGCCATCCTTACTGTAAAACACCTGGAACATAAAGCCAAACGTTTTGAAGTCATTTATGATACCCATTAGTGGTGGATGGAATCTCTTTTCTAGTACTGTATATCCTCATTAATTTATTTAAACTGAAGTGGAATGTCATTTACTGTGTTTGTATTTCTGATTGCTGGCTAGGTGGAATATTTTGTTAGGCTATTTCTGGTTGGCTGAACATCTGTCTGCATTTCTGGCACAGCTGTTTTGTGGTTGGTGTTTGTGTGCTTATTGTGTTACCTGGTAATCTGCAGCCTATCCCTGCAGGACTGAGAATGTTCGTAGCTCATAATGAAGGGGATGAATGATGCTGGCTACTTTGTTCAGGTTTCCTTAAAAAGTTAAGCCGTCAGACTGCCTCACTGACTTTGCTTCTCAGCGGCTCACCCTGACCATCTTGCCTTCTCCCTGTTCTCCAGCTGATGGTGAGACCATTCTGAAAGGCCTCCAGTCCATTTTCCAGGAGAAGGGGATGACGGAGTCGGTGCACACCTGGCAGGACCATGGTTATTTAGCGACCTACATAAACAAAAATGGCAGGTGAGGTGGCGGTTGAGTGCTCGTCTTCAGATCTCAGCACTTCAGCGGTGTGAGGGTGTGTGGGGGTTGTGTGTGTGTGCACAAAGGGTGGTGGTGGGGTGGCATCCAGTTTTTTTTCCTTTCCTCTTTTGACATCATTAGGGAGGGGGCTGGAATTCAGTGCTTCTCAGCTCTGGCTGCACAGCAGAGTTGCTGGAGCGCTTTCACAAAATCCCAGGCCCAAGCGCTCCCTGCAGAGGTTGAGGTCTCTGGGCACCACTGTTTCTCCAGAGCCCCCCAGGTGATTCTGCTGTGTGGCCAAGACCCAAAACCCTTGGGCAGCATAAGCAGCGTGAGCCCGCAGGCAGTAATCGGAGTTGTTTAAAACACAGCTTGCCATGCTGCGCTCCAGAAGTTGCTGATGCCGCAGGGCGGGGGAGCACCCCAAATAGCATTTCTGACAAGCTCCCAGCTGCCAGTCAGCTGGCCCTGCCGTGAGTAGCACTGTAATAACTGATCATCAGTTAATGCAGACTGCAGTCAAATGTGGGATGGGAGTCTGCAAGTAGCTTGATAGGAAACTGAGGGGGGATCCAACAGTTAACAAGTTTTTTTTTTTGCCCTTAAGTCTTTATACCTAATCAATATGTAAATGAAAGTCACCGTGAGAGTAGGAAAGGAGAAGATTGACACCAGAAGAGACTGGTGTCTCGAGCATTTTGTAGTTTTGTAGTAGGTTTGTATCATCTGGACTGTTTGCTGTACAAAACTATTAAGATTCTTAGTAATTCACACTATTAACTTTAAAATGTGAATTCTTGGATGTTTTTGATGGCTTTTATTCCATTCTCCCAATGTATACTAAGTACTAGAATTCCTCATATCTTCATTAATGTGCCACATTCTCTCCCTTGTTTTTCTAATTAAAAGAAAACACCCTCTACCCTCTTCTTACAGAGGCCCAGAAGACAGTGCTGTAAGATGAAGGAAACTTGCACTTTTGAACTCACCCTTCCCTTTCCATTGTTCTCTTTATAAGTCTACATACATGGTCCACCCCTGTGGCAACGATTGGTGTTTCCTACCCCGATGTCTCAGAGACATCCTAACCCCTCTCCTCTAAGACCAGATTTGTATTTCTGGTGACATAGCCGTCCTCAGTGTGAGTAGCAGCTATCTCAGAGGTATCTAGAAAGATGTCTTCTCAAGGGTGACCCCAAATCAGTACCACTGCAGATCCTCCACTGCCTCCGTCCTCGGGCTCTGGCCCAGTTAAGGTGAGTCTTCTGGAAGCAGAGGTCTGCAGCTGGCCTTAAGCCATTCAGCTCCGCAGCCCCTCTGTTTGGTCCTCTTCACCCTCCCTGCCATCTCGCTGTCTTTGTTGTGGTCCATCCTTTGGGACTTTTCCTCTCTTACCACCTCCTAATGGCCTTTGCAACCTGGCGAGGCCAACCTCTCTATGTCACTTCTTGAGTCTTCTACCCTAGCACCAATCCCAGCCTTCCAGAAGGCTTAGAATTCTTCCTGGAAAGGAGTTTCTGAGTGACAAGAGGGGTTTGGAAATTGCTTCTGAAAGCAGAAAAAAAGTTAACATGCTTAGTTAACAAAAAATTGTTTTCAACATTGGCCTTTCTCTTCTCTTACTTGGCCATCTGGGCCCCATCTCCATGCTGCCTGTCTGAATCCTCACTTTTCTTTTCCACGCCCAGGCACTGGCCCTGGGGAGGGCCTGCAGCTCCACACCCCGGCAGCTTTTCCTCTTTCTTAATTTTGGTTTTAAATCTGGTTTTAATCTCATGATTAACACTTCCAGTGTTCTCCATGTTCTGCGGTTCTCAGGCATAGGACTCTGCTAGAAGCAGCCAGGTGGTTAAGGGCTGGCATTTCTCTATCCTTCACCCCTGGCTCCTCTTTTTGGAGGAGGGGTGGGGGGGATGATCAGCTCATTCAGGTGTAGTAGATGTCTGTGGAGCCCTGGGCCCTGAACTTGATTTTGAGGCTATCTAAGGGCTGAAGGTGAAAATTAACTAGTTGTATTTATTTCTTAATCAAGGCACACTACCTGTATTCTCTGAACAGAATTCTTCATCTTAATTTAGTATTTTTCAGATGTTCATATCATAGCCCTGCACACACATCTGCATATGTGCGATACAAAATATATATGTTTAATTGAAACAAGTTTAAGATAGTTCTTAAGCATGTGACACTATTTTATTTTTACTTCATTAAAAAAGCTGCTTAGATCCACTAAATTAGGGGTTAGAACCTTTTCTGTAAGGAGCCACATAAGGTCCCTGTCACATTCTTTTTTTTTTTTTTTAAAACAACTCTTTAAAAATGTAAAAACCATACTTCGTTTGCAGGCTCCACAAAACGTACCTTTGCAGGCTCCACAAAACGTACCGCGGGCTGGATTTGGCTTGGAGGGCCCAAACTCAGTGGATTTTAGCCACCACCTGCTTGCAGTCAGAAAAACATGGTTTTGAACTCTGGAGGGTATTGGGAAATCCCAAATTGCTCTTCCCCACCCTCCCTTCCTTTCAAGTAGAGCTTACTAAGGCTGGCGAGTCCCTGCTGGGGGGCCTTCAGAAAAATCAGCGTCATAGAACTTGCTGCTGAATCACTTTTTGGGCCCAAGAACCTATTCTGAAAACCCTACCATTCAGTGACCCTAAAACTTTCCCTAAATGATTGCCTTCGCTGCCCCCATGAAGAGGCTCTAACAAGAAAGCAGCCGGGTTTATATAATTAAGGGAATAAGAGCAGTGGCTTTCCCTGTTAACTGGGTGGGCGTCTTTCCTTTTGAGTGCGATGATATCAATTCTTACCCCCTAAAATTATGCTTTCCTCTGCAGCTTTGCCAATTTGAGAATTTACCCACATGGACTGGTGTTGCTGGACCTTCAGAGTTACGACGGGGATGCGCAAGGCAAAGAAGTTGACAGTGTCAGTTGTTCACTTTCATTTACTCAAGTATTTGAGAATCACAAAACTGCTCGGTTTAATGACGTTAAAATTAATTTCATCGAATTGCTGACTTCCCAGTTCACTGAATTTTAAACTCGTCTCTCTTCAGATAAGTGGTTTTAGAAGAAAAACAGTTGTTTTCCAGTAGCTTTTAGGAATCTAGCTGTCATGTTTCCCTCGACTGCTTGAGTACTGAGTAATGATTTCACCTTCCACTGAAGGGAATGTAAGCCTTTAACCAGGATGTTATGTCTGCAATATCTTTGAGCCTTCCCATTTCCCGTTATTCTGTTGGTACTTTAGGCTGAAGTTAGGCTGGCACCACGAGGGCTGACTGTGTGGGAGTGTGGAATTGGGCCAGGCCTGCAGGCCGCTCTGTGTAGGGCCGGGGGAGGACAAGTGTGTTTGGGTGTCAGCCAGTATCACAGCTGTCAGCATGGTCTCAACCTCTTGGTCTGTACGTTAGCTGTTCCACTCGGCTTATTCTATAAGCCCATTAATTTCTTTTCTTATAATTGTAGCTTTTGAACAAAGTAGAAGAAAGAATGAAAGAATTGAGTCAGGACAGTACTGAGCGGGTGAAGCGGTAAGTCCATTCCTGAATGCCCTTTTATATTTGGTTAATCGATAAAAGAATCAGAATGGTGAGCAGTGTCTGCTTAAGACATGGAGAAGATCAAAGTCAACTACTGCTCTGGCAGCAAGGTAGACGGAGAGAGTAGGTGCCTCACCCCCAAAGGAGACCAAGTGTGTACGAGAGAGACACAGACACAGACACACAGGGAGAGATGCTGAAAGGAGATGATTGCAGAGGCAGAAATGGAGTGATTCCAAGGAGCTGGAACTGTATGAAAGCAGAGGACCACATGGGCCTGGCACCTCAAAGGGGAGCCAGAAAACTCTTCCCCGACTCTGCCCAGTAAAAGAGAAAGGATCTTCTGCCTTTTCTCAGAGTTCTGGGCCCCAGAGTGGAATTAAGCAGTGTTAAGAGACTTTGACAGGATGGGGTGACAGAACATTTGCCTCAGTGCTTTCAGGCTGAGATAACATTTGAGGGTACTAAGAATCTCTGAGGCCACCCACCTTGAGCAGCTGCTGGTAGGTTCTTTTCAAATGATAATTAAGACAATTAAGCTTTTGTTTCAGAGTGCAGCCACTTTGCCACATGTGACTATTTAAAACTAAGTTAATAAAAACAGTTCCTTCCTCAGCCTCACCTCCTGCGGATAGCTAATGGCCAGTGCCTGCCATATTGGATAGCACATATACAGAACATTTCTGTTGTGACAGATATGAAAAGAGCTTTGATAGAAGTAACAGTTTTGACCTTTATGGGGAAGGATAGAGTCTGGTAGGTCCTGGGAACTGAGAATGTGAAGTCAACATGGATGCCCAGCAAGTAATTCTGAGCAGTATTCTCTTGCACTACCTGGGTGGATCCTTGTCAGGCCGCCCAAAGTAGACCCATCCCTTGCTCCTAAAGACAAATACATACATGCAGAGACACGGGGAGTCTTGACCAAGATCAGGCCATCACTGATGGAAATGACCAGAATACAGATTTCTCCAATTCAGGGCACACTCCAGAAGAAGATATCTTTGGTGGCTGGAGCTAGGATGTTTGTCCTTAATGGCTCATCATGCTAAGTTAGATCAGCCTGGAGGAAAGCCCTGGGGCAGATGTAAGATGACTGGAAAGTTGGATAGAAAGCCTGGAAACTGCAAGAAACTTGGCCCCTTTGTTGAAATCTTTCAGAGCACCCTGACTTGTTGACCCCACCCAAGTTCAGTTTAGGTTTCCTCAGGCCCTTCCCCATCCTTGAAGAACTTATTCACACCCGTACTTCTTTCAGGAATTTCCCTTTTTCTGCTTACAAAGTTTTCCTAATCTGCATTCATTTGAATTGAATGGGTTCCCACTGTGTCTTCAGGGCGGTGATAATGAATTGGCCAACATCAAAATGCCTGATTTTCTTTTTTTCTTTATTGGTCTGATTTTTCTCAGGGTTACTTCTAGGAGTGAGTAAATAGATGGAGTGCATTTATTGTCTTCAGCATTCATGACAAGTCTAGATCCTTGGTGGTGTTGGTTTGGGAGTTTTCGAAGTGAGTGGAGGTACACTGCAGATTTTCAGTTCAAAACACAGCATAGGCCTTGTTTCTGCTTGTTGCTGTTTTTACATCTTTTCATAAAATTAGAGTGGAGAGAACAGAAAGTTGTAGGCGCTTTGTTTTTGGCCTCAAAAGGACAAGAATGGTGCCACTTTTCTATCTGGGGAATGACTTTGTTAGAAATTGAATCATTAAATGACTCAGTAACACTAGCTAAAATGATTACTCCCCTGTGATCAATGAATTACATCTAAATTTTCAACTTAGAAGCCATGACTTTTATGAGAAAAAATTTTTTTGCTTTCTACTTTTCAGAAGAAAAGGAACAGGAAAACGAGCTCGCATCAGTTGTTTTGTTGAAAAGACAAATTCTTGTAATTTACACAGTGTACCTGAAGCCTAGGGCATATTCTAACTTCTTCTCTATGGTCCAGTTTCAATTTTCAGCAGTGAAGATTGAAACAAGAGCTGTGTAGGACTCCAGAATATCTCCCAAAGCCCATTTCAGGGAGATACACTTCCTGGTAGGATGAGTACTTCATCAAGGTGATGCTTCCCCATCCTCAAAGATCGTTGCTTCTTTGCATGTCTTTGAAAAACCATTGTGTTGTATTGGAGGAAAGAGTTCTGTACCTGAGCCAAGGCACCATTGACACAATTGACAATGGGCAATGTTTGTTTTCGGTGGGTTTGATTCAGTAATTGCCTGTAGCTGGCTGTCTGTCAACCAAGGGGTGGGTTCCCTCCCTTGAAAGCCTGTGACTTGTTATTTGTCACCGTCATCCAGTGTCACAGGTGGCTCACTCTCCCACCTCATTCCACCCATCAGCCAGGGGTAGAAGAGGCTTTCCCCCAAGTCCTGTTTGTCTGATGGGGGCTCCATGTTTTACAAGAAAAACCTCTGGTCTTCTTCATTCCAACAGCTGAATTTGTTGGCTTGAAAGATGAAGTAGTTAAACCGGAAGTTGTTTGGATTAAATGAGAATTTATGGGAATTTGCTTTGTAAATTCAGTGCTTTTTACAGATACTAGTATTTCCTCACAGAAGGCCTCAAGCACCTGTGACAGGTTCAGACTGTACTCTTGGAAACAGGTGAGCGGGGAGAGCAAAGACTCATCTGAGCAAGTCAGAGGTAGCTGATCCCAGTGTTTTAGGTGCCTGTGGCTGTCTTCCTGTGAATCCCACTGTACTTGAGAACACAGGACTTGCATGTGGTTGTGTTGTGTGTGTGCTGAGTTCTCGTATTGTTAGTTCCTGTTAGAGTTGCCAAGCCCCTTTTCCAGGTCTGGTTTTCCCGTCATGTAGTGTCCTCTGCTGGTAGTTTCTAGTACATTCACCCTATCTAAAGCACTGAGTATTTACAAAAGAATGGAATTAGAAATCATCGGTTGGCAGCCACTCTAGTAAATTATTGGTTCAGGCAAGAATCTTCTAGATGCCAGAGCTACTGGTGAAGGTTTATTGGGAGATCAGGACCTTCACCCAGTTTCAGAGGACTGCCTACTTAGTAATTTCAAAGGAAAAAAAGGTACCTTTGCAAATGGAGGGATCTGGTTGGCATCGCCTGTAACTGCATGATCACTCTTAGCATCACCACCAATAGGACAGGCAAACATCTCATGCCCCTGATGTGATGCTTGTTATAATATGTGCCAACCTGACACTAATGAAGAGATCCTCAGGCAAACCTACTTGAGGGATTGTCTGCAGAGCACCTGGTCTGGACTTTCCTGAGATGTGAATGTTATGCAAGACATGGCAGGGGGAGAATGTCAGACTGTTCTAGATTAAGTGAGGGTTAAAAAAAAAGAAAGAAAAAGGGAAAATACAGTATACGATTCTTCAAAAGTAGAAGAGCTATGAAGGGGATTATTGGGGCAGTTGGGGACACTTGAACATGGATTCTGTGCTAGGTGACGGTATTCCATCTGTGTGCACTTGCATGGATGTTGGAGTGGCAGTGTACACAATCTTAAGAGATCCTTGCTGCAGTGTTTGGGAGTGAAGTGTGATGTCTGCCATGGTCATTTTCTCCTTTAACTTTTTATTAGGGAAAATTTACAGCTTGTCAGAAAGGCTTTTTAAAAAGTAAACTCTTACTGTACAACAGTGTTGAAGTTTGGCAGTGGCCATGTTTGTATAACCTAAAAACCCCAAGCTTTAGATTTGTTGTGTACTCTTTAGAAGTCTGCCTGGGGTCATGTGGCTCCTGCGTACTCTGGCTCCCAGGTCCTCTTTTAAGGCAGCCTCACCGTAAGAGTAGCATTTGTTGTAAGACTCATTCCTGTTTCCCTTATTTTACAGCTTACCACCCATAGTTCGAGGAGGGGCCATTGACAGATACTGGCCCACTGCCGATGGCCGTCTGGTTGAGTACGACATAGATGAAGTGGTGTATGATGAAGACTCACCTTACCAGAACATTAAAATTTTACACTCGAAACAATTTGGAAACATTCTCATCCTTAGTGGGGATGTTAGTAAGTATTCCATCCCTAGCTACCCCAATCATGTAACAGAGCGACCGTGTGTTAGATTAGGGTGCTTTCCTGACAAATACCACTGTTGTGGATCTGTCCAGGTTTGTCCTTGGCCCTGCTTTTTTTGTTTGCAATGAACATTTGCATCGGATTAACCTGGGCTTTCATTGTCTGGGCTTTCATGTTTTATAGCAGAGCTGTGGAAACTTTGTCTTGATAATCTCTTTTTTTCTCTTAGTTTCTTGGTGATGAGTATTTCAAAGGAATGTAATTACTTCTTTTGTTGTTGTTTTTTTGAGGGGGTAGGTAATGAGGTTTATTTATTTCTTTGTTTTCAGAGGAGGTACTGGGGATTGAACCCAGGACCTTGCGCATGCTAAGCATGTGCTCTGCCTCTTGAGCTGTACCCTCGCCCTCCTTTTAAGAAGTCTATGTTATGGACAATTTCAAACCTAAGTAGACCAAATAGTATCATGAACCCACATATACTCACCATTGAGTGTCAACAATCATCAACTCCTGGCCAGTCTTGTTTCTCCTAAACTCTAGTTCACTTTCTCTCCCTCTCATTATTTTAAAGCAGCTCTGACATCTTATTTCATCTAGAAACACATAATTGCTTTTAATTATTCATCATATCAGAAGAATCTTGAGACTGAATTTTCTTCCCACTGACTAAACTATGTATGTGTATAATCTATGTAACATATTGGGTGTTAGATGAGCAGGGTTAATGAAAGGTCCACAATCCAAAAAATTAAAAATACCTCTGTACATTGTTGATAGTTTTTAAACATTGAAAATGAAAAATTTTGCATTTTAGGCTAGATTCCAGCACTTTGTAGTATGATAAGTAGGGTGGTGTGTACGTTTGGGTAGAGTCACCATTTTGGATCTGTTTCTCCTCCCTAGATTTGGCAGAAAGTGACTTGGCGTATACCCGGGCCATCATGGGCAGTGGCAAGGAAGATTACACCGGCAAAGATGTACTCATTCTGGGAGGTGGAGATGGGGGCATATTATGTGAAATAGTCAAACTGAAACCAAAGATGGTCACTATGGTAGAGATATCCTTTGTTATATAAGAGATCCAGTTAAGTGGGCTTCATTTTCTTCCTCTTTTTTTTTTGTCTTAAGACTCCAGTTAATGTTATGAGGCAAATGTGTTACTAAGACTACCTTGAACAAACATTTCAACTTAGTATCAATAGCCTTTTTATGTGGCCACCAACTAAGAAACAGAGTTGAGAATTAAAAAGTAACCTTTGTACCATGCCTACCTCTCAGCACTTGCTGAAATGGCTTCTTCATTAGAAGAATATTCAATTCCTTTTGAGTGTTCTTGATGCACAAATTAAATCATCTCATTCATCTTTTTTTTTTAAACTTGTGATACCCACATTAGTGTTGTGTTCATCTTAACCTTTTTTTTTGAGGTGTTATATTTCAGAATTCTTTCATAAATCCAATTACAGGGGAAATTTCTCCTTAACCTCTTTTGAACATTGACCAAATGGTGATTGACGGATGTAAGAAATACATGCGAAAAACGTGTGGCGATGTCTTAGACAATCTTAAAGGAGACTGCTATCAGGTAATGTTCACCAAATAATGGTTTTATTAAGTGAACTGATAAGATTATTGATCAGAACTGTGCTTTCTTAAAACTGCTCTAAGTATGATTGGCCAAGAACGTAAATCATCAAGGTGATAGATCATCTTGTAGGGGAGGAAAAATTTCCCTCTACTCTTCTGGTTCTTGCCTGAGAACCCCTGTAATAAAGATTAACAAGAGGAAAAACAAGTTTATTAACATGTTTAACTCATGTATATATGGAAAATAGGCAGAGAAAAATAACTTAGAAGTAGCTTTTGAATTTAGCTTAAATGTCATCTTAATAGGGAAAAGGGGGCGTAGGTGTCTTAGGGGGGAGTAAATGACTTAGGAAAAATGAACAGTGCCCTTAGAAGAGTAGATAAGGAGGTGTGATAGTTTGTGACAAAGTTTGTCTGGGTGTGGTGTCGGTCTCCTCTTCTGTGATAAGAGGCCAGCTACCCTGGATGAATCTCTCAGGAAGGGGATCTATGACAATTGAGTTGCTTTTGGAGGCTCTGTCTTCAGATAAAGAGTTCAGAGAAAGTCTCTGGCTACATTTGCTTTTTTCCAAGTGCTTACAGCTCAAAATAGTCAATATGCTAAAGCTTCGTATTTTGAGGTGGCCTGTTCTGCCATCATCCTTCATTCTCTCTTCTCTGAGTTCTCTATACATTTGTATTCAGGGAAGGTGTGTACCTATCATTAAAAAAGGAAATTACCAACTCCAGATTCTCTGAATTTAATAACATTAATTCATTCTTGTATAAAAGATGTCATGTACCTTTTTATGACCTGGCATTCCACCACCCTTGTCCCTCTAGCCTGATGCTCTCTGTGAGTCTTTCAGAGAGAATTCAGAGATTTAATTGGAAGGCGTAGATGATTAAAATGTTTGATGTTGAAATCACTGCTTCTTGCACAGCAAGTTAGTTTCTGTCCTAAATTCTGCTGTGCTTCCAAGTTATCCAATCATTACAGTTTGTAGGATAGCTCTTATATTGCACTTGCAGGATGCATATGTTCAGTGCTCATACCTACAGTGCTTGGTAGAGCAAGATAGCTAAGCAAATACATATTTTATTTGACCGAAATCTTAAATTTGTATCTACAGTTTTATAAACAATCTCGATGAGTGCTTTAATTTGATATATAAATAACTAACTTACCCTATGGCATCTTCTGTGTGTGCCTCCAAATTTCATTTCATAGTAATTTTTTCATATCACATTAATTTTTTAAGCCGAGAGAGGAATTATGTCTATGTTAAAATGCAGTTGAGATGGTTTTATGGGGAAAAGGGAAAGAAAGATACATATTTCACTCTCACTATTTGAAAGGTTAAAAAGGGAGGGAGGATCCAGCAATTCCACTCCTGGTTATTTATCTGAAGAAAACAGAAGCACTAGAAAAGATACATACACCCCCCCACCCCATTCATAGCAGCACTATTGACAATAGCTGAGATATGGAAGCAACCCGAGTGTCCATCAACACATGACTGGATAAAGATCATGGTGTGGTATATATATGCAATGGAATTCTATTCAGCCATTTAAAAAAAAAAAAAGAAATCTTGCCATTTGTGACAACAAGGATAGACCTTGAGGGAATTATACTAAGTGAAATAGCCAGAGAAAGAAAAATAATGTATGATTTCACTCACGTGAAATATAAAAAGATTTTTAAAAAATAAATGAACAAACCAAACCAAACCAAACAAAAATACATAGGTACAGAGAATAGAGTATTGCTTCTGAGAAGGTGGTGGGGTGGAGATGAGGGGGTGGGGAGGGTGAAATGGGTAAAGAGGATCAACTGTATGGTGCTGGGTGGTGAGAAGGCTGTAGTGTACACAGAAGTCAAAATATAATGTACACGTGAAAGAACAAAAGGAGAAATGAGGGTCTTTAGAGCATGATAGACTTGTTTGACTGTGAGCTAAAAATTACCCTGCCTGAAGTGTTTAAACGTTTAAACCTCACTCACACCTGTGCCAAATGTTTCTAGTCTTATGGAAGACAGTAAGCGGAGAGTTTTGAAGGACATTGATTCAAGGTTGTGGGGTAACTTTAGAGGAGTGATTCAAATTCATGTCTTCCTGGCTCCTTCTGTGGCTTCCTTATATGGATTAAGAAAAAACTAACTAGGACCACAAACCCAAAGCTGCAGTACTGTGTTGTAGACTGCTGTAATTAGAGGCCAGATACAGATATAAGTGGGAAGATTTACAAATGGCCCCAGCAAACAACTTCTCACCTTGTGGCTGCATCTGAAGGTAGAGTACCAAAGGCAGATAGTGACATAAACAGAGGGGCATTTTAGAGAACACAAAATATTTTAAACCGCACCCCGTCCCCACCTTTCTGGAACAAAACCACCACCAGGGGGAGCCTGGAAAATTCTTCTGAGGCGGAAGAGTTCCTGGAGCTCTCGAAGGGTGGGTATTCCTGCTCTGTTGGGCAGCAGTAGACAAACCCCTTAGCCATTAAAATACTGCTATTAAAACAAACCAGGTCCTTGCAGCTGTTTATCATTGAAAAAATAGTTAATTACTGTGTTAACCTTTTCTAGAAAATAAAAAATGTTTCAAAGCACTCCTATTCCTTTTATAATGATAGATTTTAATACTAAAATCATTAAGGCAGTACAGAAAGAAAACTAAAGATTTTTTATATATGCACAGGATTTCCAAGTAAAAGAGCAGTAGGTTAAATCTAGCAGTATAAAGACTTACATATTATGTCCAAATAAGATTTAGTTAATAAATGTAAAGATAAGAATCTTAACACAATTTGGTATATAAATAGTAACATTGGTATTTACAGATGACAAAGCACTTGGGAATATTTAGCAGTCTTAATAAAGACTTGTTTGGTAAGATAAAATTGTAACAGAAGGGAAACTACCTAAACATAATAGAATCAAATGTAAAAATGTTATATATTTTGCCATTTGATGTAAGGCATTTCCACTAAAATTAGGAACAAGAGGAGGATTGTTTTATTTAATGTTTTTTTTGAGTCATTAATGCAGTAGGGAAGGAAAATAGTATGAATATAGAAAAAATCAGATTACTTGCAGAGGATATGAATGCTCAGAAAATTCATCAGATTTTGGTGGTGTGATTGGATAAAGGCAGACAAACTTTTTTCCTTATTCTAAATGCAAAAGCTTAAATGGAAATTGAGCATGGAGGGTGGGCCGGAAATCCTATTCAAAATAATGACCAATTGTTGAGTATGGAGGAATAAATTTAACAAGAATGGTATTGTGAGGCTGATAAGAATTAAGATCTTGTTGAAAGACAGCAACTAAAGTGTGAGTACATGGAGAGAGATGTTATTTCTTGGATGAAAATCAGAATTCCAAGGGGGTTTTTAGAATTAGACCAAATCATTTTGAAGTTCATTTATAACCATAAATATCTAAGAATAGCCAAAAAAAATTTTTTTGAATAATCATAGTGAAGGAAGATTGGCCCTTTTATTTACTGTGAAGCATAGTAGACAAGAAGTATGATGAAAAAGAAAGAGGGATGGCACAGAGACTTGACAATGTCTGAGTGTGTATTTGTACACGCAAAGCTAATATACAGCCTAAGGTGTCTTCAGTTTGGGAAAAGGAGATTTAATAAGTGATGTCGACACACTGGGCCGTCCATCTGCATGAGAACAAACTTAACTGTAGAAGGCAGAGGAAAACTAATTTCAGATGGCTTAAGCTCTAGATACAAACACTGATACATTTAGGAAAATTTAGAGTATTTAACCTTGGAATCGGGAAACTTTTTAAAGAAAGCCAAGAAATCCAGAAACTGATGCCAAGTTAATACCATAAACAGCCAAAAGACAGACTGAGAAGAATACTGGCAACAAACATGACAGGGAGTTAATCCCTTTATTAATGCAAAGAGCCCCTTAGTACTTAAAATGTTTAAGAAGTTAAAGGTGTGAAGAATAGGAACTGGTGGTGGTGAAGCCAAGTTTGTGTGCCCAGTGAGGACAAACCAAAACATCGGAGTTTGGAGCAGAGAAAGGTTTATTTCGGGGCCAAGCGAGGAGAACAGGCAGCTCATGTTCTGAAAACCTGAACTCCCTGATGGTTTTGGGGAAGCGTTTATTATAGGCAGAATTTGGGGGAAGGCCTGTAGGGTGTGTGACCTTCCTCTGGTTGGTGGTGTTTCTGAAATCTCAGTCATCAGCCTTCTGGTTCCAGTGGGTCCCGGGTCCTTGTGCTTGTGCTCAGCCAGAAGTTACCGGCCTCCCCCTGAAGGCCTTCATTCCCGTGGAAGAGCTCAGGGTTACATAGCAGGTTGTTACGTATAGGGACACAGAAGGGCTTTTGTATGCGGGAGGGACCTATAGAGCCCTGCTCAGTTTCACTTACTCCTTTTCTTTGATATTTATGAATCTTGATGGGAAGAGATGAGGGACAAAAATGGAATAAAATTTTCGATAGAGAGGTCAATCATAAACTCGACAGAGGGATTCGGCTCTAGGGGGACTTGATCTCACTGTTAGTTCTCAGAAGATAAAAGTCAAATAGCCTGCAAACTTAGGACAAAATGCTCACTCCCGTTGGTGGCCCATGAAGTTCTTGTGAAAATTTTTGTAAGGAACTTGACAAAATATGAGAAAAGGGACAACCTCCAGTACTGGGATGGATGCAAAGACACAGGTGCTCACCTGCATTGCTGGTTGGAGCAAAAATAGCCTTCAATTAAAAATGAAAGTACACATGCCTTTGTCTTGGCCACTCAGTGTTTGAGCATCCAGGCAGCAGCCATCTATACAAGGAGTTTTGTTTTGACTGTGTTTAGGAACCAAGGCTTGAAGGGTACATTTTTAGTGGAATGATACCCTTAAAAAAATCATTACCTGGAATGGTGTTGGGTGAAAATTTCCGAGTTTACAATGATGTGTGTGATCCTCGTTCTTACAAAAGAGTACAAGCATTTGTGCTTATGTGCAGGTGAGTGTTCACAAGAGTCTATATGAGCACAGGAAAAAACAGCATATTAAATAGGTCTGATACATAGATTGAAGGCAGCTGGGGTGTTGCTGCCTTCTATGCATGGTTGCACTTGATGAAATTGAATGAAGCAAGTTATAAAACAATAGGATGCTAAGATTATGTTTCTTTAAAAAATTTGTGATTTTTGAGGACATTTGTAAGAAAATTTCTACGAAAAAATCTAGAATGGACTATTTTAGGGGATTGGATCAAACTCGATTGAAACATGTAGTTTGTAGCCAGAAAAATCAAAAGACTAGGAGAACAACTCCTGTCCAGGTGAAGAAGTTGCCTACAGTTGGGTGGGTCTCCAGCATATAGCTTCAGTACTTCAAAGACACAGCAAACCCCAAACTGATGTCCTATGACAATTCCCGCTTCTGACTGCTTACCTGCGCTCTGACGGGGGACTATGGCAGCCACCATTTATTACACGGCTTTAGTACCTGCTGTACTTGGAGTGTTAGAGGAAATAAAAAAACCATAGGTTTTTTTTTAATAGTTCAAGGTAAGATGCAAAAATAAATCCATAGACAACAAAATCACTCAGCGCTTAGTATAAAAGGACAACTAAAAGTAGAACAATGTACGTACAGTAGAAGAGGCAGCATAGATGACTATGAACTTGGTGTTCAGATCTAGGTTTACTTCTTGGCTCCATTTCTGATTGGGTGCCTTTGAGCAAACTTGGTGACCTTTCTCGTGTGTTTCTTCTCCATTTGTAAAATGGGGATGATCAAGAACCTGAAATGAGTTCAGGGTAAATGAGAAGCACTTAAAGCCAGCGCTGAGCCCTGAATTTCAGCCAGTAGCAGGCGTGAATGGAAGCCATTTCTGTTCAGTTGGCAGGTGCTGTGGATCTCAGCCCCAGTGTGCATCTCCCCCTTCCTTCTACACGGGTTTAACTTACTTCCACGTGTGTTGGCTCACCCATCTCTCTTCCTGTTCTCTCTGGAAGGTTCTAATAGAAGACTGTATTCCAGTCCTGAAGAGGTACGCCAAAGAAGGGAGAGAGTTTGATTATGTGATTAATGATTTGACAGCTGTTCCAATCTCCACATCTCCAGAAGAAGGTAGATTCTGTTTTGATTTTTTTTGTTTTCAACCAAGGTAATGTTGATGGAAATGTTTTTCTTGGCACCATATGAGAAGGAAAGGATCTTAAGAGATTATCTAGTGAAGTTCCTTCATTTATTAAAGGTAGTTAAACTGAGGCCCAGTGTGGAAAGATGACTGGATGTGGCTTTGGTCAAATCCTGTTCTGCCACTAAATGAACAACATTAACTCAGTCATTTAAAGCAAACATGAAATAAAATGATTCATAATCATACCACTGAGGCATTAGCTTGTTTGATCATTGATTTACATAATCTGATTTTTTTACCTTATACTGGGACAATCTGGTGACCTTTCTAAGCAACACCAGACACAATTTCCCTTCTCAAGCTATACACTCAAAATCACTGCATGCTTAGGATTTCCATGTTAATGTTTTTTTATTACCTGGTCTGCCTGCTGAGTTGCCAGACTTGGGTCCACACCTCGTGACCCTTGCTGACCCTTGGGGTTTCTCTCTCAGGATGCTGCTGCTTTCCCCCTTACTTAAAGCTGTTGTCTTTCAGATTTCAACCACTGCCTTTGTGTCAAATCTTGCTGGGTATTGTGAGAACAGTGCCACGTACACGCACGTTTGCTTTTGACTTTGCCTGTACATGCATGTATGTGCACGTGTGTGCAGAACACAGAATATATGACGGTACCTTACCATCCACAAATAAGCTCTCGAATATTAGATCTTAAGCGCATGACTATTTTTTTGTATTGTTGAGTATTCATGTGAATGTTGGACTTTAGATGTTTCTGAGGCATGAAAAACCTACGTTTATAAAACAATTTTTTTTTTTAACATCCAGATTCCACATGGGAGTTTCTCAGACTGATTCTTGACCTCTCAATGAAAGTATTGAAACAGGATGGGAAATATTTTACACAGGTAAAGACTACTTAACTGTTTTTTCCTCAAACTCAAAGATAATTTTGTATTTTGTGTTTCAGACAACCAAAATACCTAGAGAGACACTGACATGAAGACTAAGTGGTAGCACTAACTCTAGTTAACTTGGAGATGAAGGTTAAAAGGAAGGAGGTACAGTATATGACGGCTATGTGCTCTGACAATGTAGAGGTGGCACAACTACTACAAATAACGGTGGGCGGGAGAGAATGGGACAAGCATATGCAAACATCTTTATGCATTTTCAGTAATCATATTGGAGGTGATAGAATTAGTATTGTTATTCAGAGGTGGTTGTATTTGTCATGTGGCATACAGCAATTGAGCAGTTATGCAATATTTTAATTCCATCATGCCCAGCATTCTCAATATGAAAGAAGGTAGTTGAAGATGTAGTATAGAAGTGGATAAATAAAGCCCTATTGTACCGGGGGAAAAAAGAGATTTTATATTTTGAAATTTGAATGCGTATTGTTGAAATTTAGGTTTGTTAAGGATAGAACAGTATAATTGGATTATATTCTCTCAAGCACTGAGTTTGTAAATCAATGACACGTTATCTTTCGGGAATTAATGGGTTCAGTTGTGTCCTGTTAACGCAGCTGCCCCCATTTATCAGCTTTGGGCTTGGGCTGTAGTATGAGCTGCTGCCACCAGATGGAGACAGAGATTGTGTGTTTTTTTTTCCCCCTCCCTACTCATCCTCTAGGAGATTCTTAATGGAAAAGCCATCAACAAAAATTTCGTAAACTGCTTTGGCTGTAGTATGAGCTGCTGCCACCAGATGGAAGCGGATTGTGTTTTCGTCATTTTCTACAGGATTCTTAACTTTAAAAGAAAGGTTGAAGTTAGTGTTTCTCCTACTGAAGTTAGTATATCTCCTACTGAAGTCCTGAAGCAAAAGCAGCTAATTGATGATTCATTCTCTTTACTGGGTACAAAGATCCCTTGATCCCTAAGCAGAAGAGAAGCATTTACTTAGTATTGCCCTCTGGTCCCTGTAATTCTTAAGCATTTTCAGGAGACTCCTACATCCCCCCCACCTTTTTTTTTTTAAAGCACTGGTATATTTAAAAGTCAAGAACTGCTAGAGAGAGCCTAACCTTATTCTCTTGAGGAGGCATTTTTAAGCAGACCCTCGACAGCTGATGAGATCTAAGATAATCCCGAAAGCAACTTGGTAACTCTGAGAGACACCTTGATTTAGTGTCTAGCCCAGCCTGTTTTCTTCCTCCTCCCCCTGCACGTAAGCCCCCCCAACACGTGGCAGATTATTGTAGACCTCACACTTGGTGACAGTGTTGGGAAGCTTTGAGAAGAGGCAACTGTCTATGAATGGATTTTTTTTTAAACCCCTGATGTTTTGAAATTTGAAACACATTCTAGAACTGACTGTTTAAAAGCAGGTATTTGTGAAGCATGGGCCACATCTCACCTGCTGCTTGTTTTTGCAGTTTTCTTGGCACACAGACACGTCCGTTCATCACAGCAGCTCTGGCTGCGTTCGCGCTCCAGCAGCAGCTTGGAATACCCGTGATGAACAATAGGACCTGCAAAGCCTAACATGTTTTCTGTCTGGTTCTTGACAGAAGTTTGCTGACCCCTGCTTTACAGGAAATCTACAGTGAAACCTGTTCAAAGTCGTCTTATTCTTGTAAAAGCAACCCAAATTCATTGAATTGTGTTTTTCATGAGTGGATATTTCTCAATCAGAGCATATATTGATAGAATTTAGTTCTTTTTATGTTCCTGCCAATAGAAAGACATCTCAAGGAACTTAACTGGAGGGAGAATGAGGCTCTGGGGTCTTTAATCCAAAAAGGCTGAAGAAGTTGGGATCTACTGCAGACCGGTCAGTTTGTAGAAGACAACAGGTGTAATGAGGAAGAAAGCGTGACTATTGTCTTTTGTTGTGACTATTTGCCTGGTAGACTGCTTTTTTGGGGGATTGGCTTTCTCAGTATGGACTAGTCATGGAAATGCTTGCTTGACAATTGACCACTGCCCATTTGTAATTATAATGATCGAGGTTTTGATAACTTCCCCTTGCCAACCAACTTTTACCAAAAATGCCATTAAATACTCAGGGCTGTACTGGTTTCTAAGAATTGTCCGAAACATGTATTAGGACTTGTTTTATGTCCCTCTGTTCATAACACTTGGAAACTCAAGGCGATCCTATTTTATGATACCCAGGAATCCCACTAGACCTTGGGTTGTTGAATGTGTCACGCAGACTGGGGTCATAAGCCTTTGAAGAAGCAGTAGTCAAGTCAGGAGCGCAGTGTGGTTTGACTTGGGATGTACTGATGTCATTGCCACAGTGTAATGTTTTCTTACGCTGCCACATGGTATGCTCAGGAGATGGCCTGGATTCACAACCACCCTCTTCCCTGAGCCTGTAGCTTAAGAATGGAATAAGGTTAAAGATGGGATGAAAATGTTGGGCCTCTTACTTGGTGACAGACAAAAGCTAAATGTTCCTGCCTAAAATTGCTTGCATTACAGTGGTGAGTTCCTGGTGTCACTGGTGTCACTGTGGCTACCTGCAGACAGCCTTGTCAATGGGCCACAAAACTAGGAAAAGTGTCCTGGAGTGTGGGGGTGCAGCCACCTCTGGCAGGTTGGCCAAGGCAATTTGAATCTGGGGAAGAATTGCTTTTAGGGATGACAAGTCAGATTCTGTGGCTTGGCCTCCCTCCCCCTTTTACCCTACTCCCCATTAAAAACAAAACCAAAAACTAAGTTATTTGAAAGTACAAAAATATGTATGCGACATTCATGTGACATTCATGTAACTTATGATACAAAAATACTAATCGCTCACCCCCTGCAGACCTGGACAGTACCAGTACCCCTGACATGTCTACTTCCCCCCCGATCTCTTGCCCACCTTCGGGAGTAACTCATCTTTAGTGTTATTTTTTTTCTATTATTCTGTGCTGTTCTTCATAGATGTTTCACGTATGTGTGGTTTCCTAAGTCATCGTAGTATTTAATTTTGCTTGCTTTTGAACTTGATAAAGATGGTATTACTAAGGATATATTCTTCCAGAGCTGTGCTGTTTTTTTTGTTTTTGTTTTCTTTAACATTACAGAAATCACACAAGGTGTTTAAAAGGTACAATACTGAAATCTATAAAGTAAAAAAGCAAATGTCACCCACAGGTAACTTGGGGCAAGGAGAACCTTCTAGGACAGAAACTACTGTATTGGGATTTACCCACTAGGGGTGCCTGTATCTTGCCACATTATTCCCTTCCTCTCATCCTTAATAGATTAATTATTTTCTATTAGATTTTTGTTCTGCATCTCCCATGTGCCTTAAGAACAATGTAGTTTCATTTAAATACCCAGGACAGTGAAATGTATCACATCACTTTTTTGGGTAGGTATCTATGTTTTTTCTTTTTCTTTTTTAAACTGCTTTATGACAGTGTTGGGGAAAAACAAATTGAAACTAACCTATTTCCTTACCACATTCTTTATTAGGCAGTCTTCCCATATACCCTCTGTAAAGAGAGAGTGTGGTGTCAACTTTAAGATGGCAAGGAAAATCTTAAACTGTGAACCTTGGTGGCATTTCCATTCTATAGCTTCCCTAGGAGTGAGGTGTTCTAAAAACAACCAGGCAGTGTTTTCTATTTGTGAATCTTAAATTACACATGTGGTGTTTATATACTCTCGTGGTGAACTTGATGTTGAAACCAAATTATATGCTGGTGAAGGGCACTTTGGCCAAATCCCACTGCAGGACCCTAGATGATGGGTTACTAAACAGGCTGGCACTGAAGGATGACAACATGCTGAGCGAATGTGCTAAGTTAAAACCGCCAAGGCCAGCTCTCGGAATAGTTCTGTCTACCCACTTGCCCGTGGCTGGCTGGCTGGTTGGTTTGGAAATGCCATCCTGAGGAATGCTTACATCACAGGCTACTTTATTTGTGAATAATTTTCATCTTACACAGTGTACTTGGTTATCTTGAGGCATACTGATAGTGAAGTTCTTATGAAGGAATGGGATCAGCACATATATTCAGTATTCTTCCAAATGTTAACTTCAGAGGTTAAAAGGAAATAGGTAATATTAAAATACCCATCATGTTTTCCAAATCCATTATGAGAAGCCCTTGGGGGAAAATTGTGCTCAAATGATAAGCCCTAGCCCAGACCTACTGAATGAAAATCTGCATTTTAACAAGGCCCCCGCTATGATTCATATGCACATTAAAGATTGGGAATCACTGCTCTAGAACTAGGCAGATACTGTGTTTGTTCAGCAGCTCTACTGTGTCTTGGTCAGCATCTGATTCTCTTCATCTTTTTTTTTATTTTTATTTTTTTATGGTCACAGTGGCTGTTGCAGCTCCAAATAACACATCTAAGTTATAGGCTGGAAGAAAGTTGAAGGAGCGGGGGTTTATACTTGATTGTCCTGAACCAAATATCACGTATGTGGAACCTAAAATATAATACAAATGAATTTATATACAAAACAGAAGCAGACTCATAGACATAAAATTATGGTTACCAAAGGGGAAGAGAGAAGGGGAAGGATAAATTAGGAGTATTGGATTAACAGAGACAAACTATACATAAAATAGATAAGCAACAAAGATTTACTGTACAGTGCAGGGAAATATATTCAATTTTTATAATAACCTATAATGGAAAATAATCTGAAAAATATGTATATGATTGAATCACTTTGCTGTACACCTGAAACTAACACAATACTGTAAATCAAGTATACTTCAACAACAACAAGAAAAACTTTCCTGGCAGAATTCCACTGTCTCTTTGACCACCCTTAGCTGCTGGGGAGGCAAAAACAAACAAAAAAACTGACAAGAAAGGGAAAAAAGAACCATGAAGTCAAGAGAAAATGTTTGATAAACACTAGAACTGGGGAATATCCTTAGTGTATATATCCTGAACAGACTTTTGTTCTCTTATACCTTAAAATAAATCTCAGGTTTAGGGGAAGGCACAGGGGGTATGAATATAGTTCTGTGTCAATGTCTTAGACTCTTAGGAGGGTCATAGTTTAAGCCATTCTGGAAATCCAGAACATTATCTTTTTGATACTTCACTCTCAACACAGTGGCGACTATCGGGAAAACTTATTTTGAATGGATTATGTGTCTGGATCTTTGCTAATTGCATGGTGTTGATATAATGACTGTGTCACTAATGAGAAATTGGTCTCACTGCTTTCTATTGCTTCAGACTCTAATACTTTGAAAATGGCTCGGTAAATGAGGTAGAAAGATAATGAGCGGATGGGTCTATAAATAGAACTCCGTGCAGTTTGTGAAAGCACTAAAGCCTTATCTCATTTTCAGAGATGAACTCTTACCTAAAGCTATAATTGTTCTCATTTATTGGAGACCTTAAAATGAGTGGGACCCTCAGAAGGACTTAGGAATCCTATTGTTTGCTTCTCTCTCTTTGATTTAGGGGAACTGTGTCAATTTGACGGAAGCCCTGTCACTCTATGAAGAACAGCTGGGGCGCCTGTATTGTCCTGTGGAATTCTCGAAGGAGATTGTCTGTGTCCCTTCATACTTGGAATTATATCCTTTGACCATATCGTTCTGTTGCCAAATCAGAACATCCATATAAATCCCATGCCTATTTAACATTTTAAACAAACAGAATTAGTTCTGTAGTATATAAGACCCTGGTTTCCAGACTTGGCTGCACATTGGAATTCCTGGAAGCTTTAAAAAAAATACTGATTCCTGGGTCCCACCCTCAGATTGTAGAGTGCGGCCTGCCACAGCTTCCCAGGTCGTTTTAACGATCTGGCCCCACAGGTTCTCACAGGCAGTCCCTAGAACTACGGCATCACCTGGGAACTGGTGAGACCTGCAAATTCTCCAGCCCTATCCTAGGCTGCCGCCCAGTTAGAAACACTGGAGAGCGGGCCGGGACCTGTCTCCAGCAGCCTGCCCAGGGATTGATGTGTGAGGTTCAGCCCTAAAACACCACCCTGGCTGTAGCAGGCTGACTGGAGAAGCTCATTCTACTTTCATATGAAAATTACCCTACTTTAATATTCACTTCAATTGATTCTGGCTTGCGGTAGAGACAGAGCTAAAAATAATGCTGAGGATCGCCAAGTTAATGTTGGGGTTCTCCATTAGTTCACTTAGTAAAGTTAGTCCAGAGAGATAAGGGAAGAACCCAGAGAAGAACCAAATGAGAGCATGGTCATTGGAAATTTATAGTGCATTTCCTCCTAAAAAATGGACTGGAGTCTGTAGACCAAAGCCTCCTTACTGGAGGTGGCAGGGTCCAGCTTCCTGTGACAGCAGCTTTCATTCTCCAGGGAGACCCTGTGACTGCTGCTGGCTGCCAGTGAGGCCCCAACCTGGGAGCCTGAGCTCTGTGACCGAGGTTGGGGGGTGGGTGGCGGCTGGCCAGGCTCCTCACAGCCTGTGGACCTCCACCTTCGTCAGGGTTCCTCTCCAGAGCGCTTGTTACAGTCAGGTCTTGGTTGATAACAATGTTGAAAGCCTTTAGAAATCAGGTGATAGCATTTGGAGAAAAGGCTTCCACCCTCCGGCTCCCCTCCTCTTACTCTCCATGCTCCCCCCTTTTTTCCTCTTCCTCACTCCCTTGCCTTCTCCCACATCCCCCTTTTCTCTTTTCCTCCCATCCCCCCTATACCCTACCTTTCGCCTCCCTCTTGTCTTTGTCTCCCCACTCCCCAACCAATATGATTCCTGAAACCATTTTAGAGTCCTTGTAAGCAGTCGTGTGACCTGAGAGAATATTTCTGTCCCTTTAACCTTTTCTCTGCTCTCCCCCCCTCACCCAGTGTCACAGGTGGTAGGCGGCCTGGCTGCAAAGTGGCCTTGTTTAAGGGGCCTTCGTTCTCATTACCACAGTGCTGTAAGCACTGAAGCTTTCATCCATCTTCCAATTTGTAGGCCAGTAAACAAATTTTAAGTGATGCCTATTCTTCGTTGAATTACCTCCTCTTATTCCTTGACTCCCTGTCCA